GGGGCAGTTGGCGGGGCAGTTGGTGCGGCAGTTGGCGCGGCAGTTGGCGTGGTAGTTGATGTGGTAGTTGGCGTGGTAGTTGGTGTGGCAGTTGGCGCAGGCAGGGCGACCAGGAGGGGCTCTGCAGTCCACTTCTAGGTCTTCTAGGTCTGCAGCCCAGAGAAGTCCTTTGGTCTCTGGCAAGGTGGTGGGCACTCGCCTCAGAGCTAAACCCACTGTTCCTCCAGAGAAAGCCCCTGCGACATCTGATGCAGCCACCCAGATGGATCCGGCAAGAAAGGACGCCTCAGTACAGGCGGTGGGTTGAAGCAAGAGCCCAAACCCTTGTCCCAATGATGAGGTCAGTACCTGCAGAAGGTGCGCACAGATCGATGACCTCTTACGCCAGGTGGCCGAACTGCAGGAACTGGTTGAAAGACTGCGCGGTATTAGAGGAGCTGAGCTCGTGGGTCAGCAGAACAGTTCGTGGGGCAACTGGGCACCCCACGGGGCAACTGGGCATCCAAGGGGCCCTAAAGCACCCCATGGGCCAGTAGAATGTTCATGTGGGCAACTGGGTGTCCGAGGAGGCAAGAGGACCCCCCACAGGGCAACTGGGCACCCAAGGGGACAACTGGGCATCCAAGGGGGCCTAAAGCACCCCATGGGCCAGTAGAATGTTCATGTGGGCAACTGGGTGTCCGAGGAGGCAAGAGGACCCCCCACAGGGCAACTGGGCACCCAAGGGGACAACTGGGCATCCAAGGGGGCCTAACTGGGCACCCAAGGGGGTAGAACATTCAGCTGGGCAACTGAGTGTCTGAGGGAGCAACAGGGCACCCCATGGGGCAACTGGGCAGCCCATGAGTCAGTGGAACAGTTCAGTTGGGCAACTGGGCACCCAAGGGGGCAACCGGGCACCCAAGGGGTTCTTAAAGCACCCCATGGATCAATAGAATGCTCAGTTGGGCAACTGGGTGTCTGAGGGGACAACAGGGCACCCCATGGGGCAACTGGGCACCCCATGAGTCAGTGGAACAGTTCAGTTGGGCAACTGGGCACCCAAGGGGGCAACTGGGCACCCAACTGGACCTAAAGCACCCCATGGGCTAGTAGAACGTTCAGTTGGGCAACTGAGTGCCTGACGGGGGGGCAACAAGGCACCCCATGGGTCAGCAGAATGTTCACTGGGCTATTGGGCACCAAGGGGTCAACAGGACACCCCATGGGCAACAGGGCACCCAAGGGGGCAACTGGGAACCCAACTGGACCTAAAGCACCCCATGGGCCAGTAGAACGTTCAGTTGGGCAACTGGGTGTCTGAGGGGGCAACAGGACACCCCATGGGCAACAAGACACCCCATGGGCAACAGGACACCCAACTGGACCTAAAGCACCCCATGGGCCAGTAGAACGTTCAGTTGGGCAACTAGGTGTCTGAGGGGGCAACAGGACACCCAAGGGGGCAGTCGGGTGCCCCCCGCCCCACCTGACAGACCTGTCCCCGCCGGCTCGGCGCCGGGAGGATGGCGGGCGGGGGGGGCAAAAAAACCCCAGCCCGCGGCGGCGCTGCTGGACTCCCTCAACCGCCTCCGGCTGGAGGGGAAGTTCTGCGACGTGGCCGTGCACGTGGGCGGTCGGATCTTCCCAGCCCACAAGAGCGTCTTGGCCGCCGCGTCCCCCTTCTTCCACGACAAACTTCTGCTGCAGGATGGGGGGCGCCTGCTGCTGCCCCCCGCCATCGACCCCGACGCCTTTGAGGGGCTCCTACATCTCATCTACTCGGGCCGCTTGACGTTGCTGTTGGATGCCCTGCCCGGTCATCTCTTGGTGGCCAGCGGTCTCCAAATGTGGCACGTGGTGGATCAGTGCTCAGAGATCTTGAGGGAGTTGGAGGGTGGGGTGTGCCGGTGGGCTGGGCGAGGCAGCGAGGTGACATCATCATCGTCATCAACTGGCCGCGGTGGTGAGGCTTCATCATCCTGGACTGCCCGTGGTGGAGATGGGTCTTTGTCATCATCCTGGATCAACCGTGGTGCAGATGGGGCTTCATGTAGCAGCCACGGGGGAGATGGAGCATCATCGTGGACCACCCGTGGTGATGGGGCTTCATGTAGCACCCATGGTGGAGATGGAGCGTCATCGTGGACCACCCGTGGTGGAGACGGGGCGTCATGTCCCACCCGTGGTGGTGACGGAGCGTCATCATGGCCCACTCGCGGTGGCGATGGGTCTTCATCGTCCTCGTGGACCACGCGTGGTGGTGACGGCTCCTCATGTCCCACCCGTGGTGGCGATGGAGGATCCTCGTGGTCCACCCGAGGTGGTGATGGCTCTTCTTCATCATCATCGTGGCCCGTGCGTGGTGGCGATGGCTCTTCATGGGCCACCCGCGGTGGTGAGGCGGCGCCACTGTCTTTCACCAAGGAGGGGGGCGAGGAGGTCCTCAAAATCCGCGTAGCCGCTGACATGGCACCAGCAGCGACATCATCCCTGAGCTCCCTCCTGAAGGACACCGGTGAGGAGGTCCTCAAGATCTGCGTGGAGGAGGAAGAGGAAGAAGAAGAAGAGGAGGAAGAGGAGGGTGGCCTCCGCCGCCGCCACCGCCCCACCGATGCCCTCCAGATCGTGCTGGAAGAGGAAGAGGAGGAAGACGGGGTGCCCGGAGACGCCCACGAGCCCCCCAAGATCTTCTACATCAAGCAGGAGGCGGGCGATGCTGCCGCCATTGAGGGCCCCCCGCC